ATATTACAAATGTTTGGTAATGTACATGTCCACTGGTGATGAGTTCCCAAAGCTGCAAGGAAATCAGTACTAAAGAAGTTTGCTGCCTTGATCAATGCATAACTAACAAGTCCAGACAATTCCCAAAGTTATTGATTGCATAACTGTAGTACAATCTAGGACTGGAGCACTACTTCAAATCTAATTAGTCAAAATGGCTAGCAATGCACATAAACTGCAATATAGAACATGCCGCCAAGGTCATTAGAGCATGATGTGGATGGAATTATTCTTACATGATCAGCACAGTTCCCCGCAATCACATAGCTCCATGTAACAGCAAGGCATCAAGGACTGACACAGCAATTTTTATAAGGGTTTTACAGTTAGTTAAAAATGGGCAACAATAATTTAGTGTAGAAAATGTCATATTCCTTCAAACGCAGAAAGGAGATTGGATATGGCAAGTATTTTGCATCATGTTCAATTGTCAGAAGAAATGCTCCTTAAAGATTCCACTTGGGATGAGGGACAAGTATGGGACCTAGTGGGTGTGGCTCTGAGCTCATGCCAGTAAACGCCTTTCTTTGGGGTCAGCATTCCCCAAAATCAACTAAGGCATGAAAGGGTGGTATTGCCACATCTATACAGGCATTTTCAGAGCACTGAACACCTCCATCACAAACACAGTACTTAAGTTTCAGCATATCTCTGTTCAGAACAGTATGTGAGGTAGTTTAGAAGCAAGCTATAGAAGTCTATGCTCAAGAAACCTGATTAACAGGGGGAGAAAGGGAAGATGGCAAAAGTCAGTTATATAGCACAACTGGTACTCTCTGCTTAGAGGAAGATTGAGACCAGAGAGTGCTGCAGATCAGAAACGAAGACCATTGACAGATGAGTGGAGAAATTCAATACAGGCCCCATATGGATTAAGCCTGGACCTAACATTTCTTTCATGAGCTTTGAAACAAAGTCTTCAAAATTTATTCCAGAAAGAAAATCCAGCTATTTAAAATTATAATAGTAAAGGAGAGGGGAACACAAAATATTATAAGAACATTGTGTCTCAGGAATCTGAGGAACAGGCTAGGTTATCAATAGGATGTTTGAATCTAAAGCTAATTAAATCATCCTCTTTGTATTTGTAGCGGTGGCAAGACATGCTCAATAGATTCTTTCAAGATTCGCTTTTGCCAATGCAGCTTACTGAAAAATACACTCACAATATAATACATTTATCAGCGGATAGCACTGGTCCATTCCAACAGTGGAGAAAAAACTATACAATCCCACATAAAAAGCCTGATCCTGCACCCACTGGAGTCAACGGCAATTCCTTCATTGACTTCAGTGATACAGACTGTGAAAACGAAGTGCTTCCCTGTTGGTTGGATAGATTAGCTTAAACTTTGTACATTAAAAATTCTCAACTTTCTGCCACATAAAATGAAAGTTTGGATTCTACTAAATTGGGACTTGCATACTTTTACTCAGGCATGGGGCAGAGAGGTGAAAAGCTAAGTGTCTTTAGTTCATAATCATTCAGAAAAATATGTACAAAAGAGCTGCTGAAGGCTGCAGCTACAGCAACATGACATGTTACATGGGGAAAGGAGAAAAAGAGCAAGACCAGTGACTAGACAGAAAAAGAGGAGGAGCTGGTAAGCCTGGGGTGAAATAGTAGCAGGATAGAACCATAGAAATTTGAGATCTCAACTGAATGATTCCTCCTCAGGAAAAACTATTTCAATATTATTCCTTATAGTTGACTCTCCCTGGCTTTCTGGACACTTTTGTTTTTCTCCTTTCCATGACCAAAATGTAGATGATAAAATTCTTTAAATTAAAACAAAAAATTTGAATAGGAATATATGTAGAAACCAGACTCTGAAATGAATTTCAGGATTCTGGTGAAATGGACTTACAAAGCATCTACATATAGTTTATAAGCTATATGTGCATGTACGCAACTATACTACAAACTCATTATCAGATGGTTCACTATAAGAGCACTCTCTAATATAGAGGTATGTCTACACTAGCCACCTAGTTCGAACTAGGGAGGCTAAAGTAGGCATTTGAAGTTGCAAATGAAGCCCGGGATTTAAATATCCCGGGCTTTATTTGCATCTTCCCATCCGGGCGCCATTTTTAAATCCCCCTAGTCCGAACTAACTGCCCGTGGCTACACGCGGCAGTCAAATGTTAACTCGAACTAAGTCCTTATTCACGAGGTCCTTACACTGTGAATAAGGACTTAGTTCGAGTTAACGTTTGACTGCCGCGTGTAGCTGCGGGCAGCTGGTTCGGACTAGGGGAATAAAAGGAAAATATTAATTGAAGGGAAATTCTTTATACCACGCATCTATACACATACAGGCATGTAAATGCTAGGTATTAGTTATAAATCACCTGCACCATATAGATATTACCGGTATTTGTATAGTTTCAATATGTTACCAAGAAAAAGAACTACTGTATTTCCACTAGTAAACTAGTGGAAGTTTACTAGTGTTTGTATTAGGGAGAAGTTGCGTTAATTGTTATTGAGTCAGGTGTAGGCACTGGTCTGAATAAACAGTACAACCCTGCTTATCTAAAGGTTTCAGAAGACATTTGACAGATTTGAATAAACAGTATTTAGCTTGCTAGAGTATTTAAGGCAGTTTTTATATGCCCCAGAACCCTCAGAGAAACATACCAGAGTCTAGAGCAGGGGTGGGCAAGAGAGCCTCTGTGGACTGCATCCAGCCTACCAACTCAGTTGATCTGGCCCGCAGCTATCCTGCCACTCCCCACCCCCAGGCCAGTCGAGACCTGGGGATGAGGGAGCACGTGAAGTCTCCTCCCCCTGCCAGGGATGTGCAGCACCAGAGGGAACTGCCAGCTGATCAGAACAGCTGGTGATTTACTCTAGGTGCCTTGCGCCCCTTGCAGAGTGGGGGTAGGGGAAAAAGACTTCACGTGCTCCCCACCCCCAGACCCTGACTAGCCTAGGGGTAGGGGGAACGTGAAAAGTATATTCCTGCTACTAGGGGAGCATGGTTTCTAGAGTGAACCTCTAGCTGTTCAAAATGGCTGGTGCTTCACTCCAGGTGCCATGTACGCCTTGCAGGGTGGGGATGGGGGGCAAAGACTTCACATGCCTCCCCACCCCTAGGCCCTTACTGGCCTGAGGGCGGTTGCCTCTTGGTGTCATGGGGGTGGGAGAGCAAAGACTTTGAAGGCTCCCCCACTCCCTGCCAATCAGGGTCTGTGGGTGGGGGAGCACAGGAAGTGTCCTGACCCCACCCCTTCTGTCTGACACCCCACCCCTTGTGAGGTGGCCTAGGACTACTTCAGAAATTTGTAAATTTTAAAATTTATTGTTAAAAATTATTGCCCACCCCTGGACTAGAGTGTTATTTCTGGTCAGCTTTCATAATTCACTTCACAATTCTGAAAATCCTGGGAAACAAACTTCCCTTCTATTAACTGGGGGTTGATTCATTGGGATTGCACACAAATAATGGATGGGCTGAAATGACCAATAAGGGAATAATTCTAGTGAAAGTTCTGGGGATACACTGTTAGTTTTTATACTGTACCAACAATGCAGTCCCACAGAACTTCTATTACCTCTACTACAGCTCAGGAAAATTAGGAGCTACTGTTTACTCCTGTATGAGGATTTTAGAGTTTACCTGATGGAGTCTGAATGGCAATTCCCAACAGCCTCATGAATGGGATATAACTCAATGTTCTGGAAAAAGTTATAATTATCATTCTATTAGACTGGGGGTGAGCATGTGTATGTAGCAGGGAGAAAACTGCTATGTCTGATATGCTAATAATGACTAATGCCAGCAGGATATTATTACTCTGAATAAGATTTGGTGTTCAGTTACTGCCCCCATTCATATACTTAAAGAATTACAGTAATAAAATGCATAAAGTAACTAAACATAAGTGAAGTGTAACTGAACTGTGTCAGCTGTAAATTATAGCCATCCTATAGGAAAATTGAAGGAATTTTCTGTTTCCCCATGAGATTCCTATATATCACAACTGTCATCTTGGTTTCTCTTTATCTAGGATAAACCACATGGCAATTTCAGAAGTTTGAACTGTTACTAAAGCATTTAAAATCTAATAAAAATTGGCCATGTGATGTAGGCACAGTTCCTACTTCTTTCACTCAAAGCTTTCCAATGACGGCTTGTGGATTTCCAAATGTCACTTACAAAAATTGCATATAGGAGAGTTGGCTCAAGTTGGCCTACACACTTCCACAAACACCCTCATTTTTAATATGGAAGTTCACTCCAGAGAGACAACAGATCACAGCATACAAGGGAGCCAAAGGAGCCCTAGAGTTTCTGCGGATTGCACTGCTATCTTGAAGATGGATACATGTAATTTGCTCTATTCTATGCTGTAGGGGTTCTCCCCCTGTGCGGAGGAGCTTACGTCCGCCCCCCTCGGTTCTCTGATCATAGACGCCTTGACGCGACCGATTCCGATCGGTTTGGTTAGGCGGTTGGGGGAAGGGGGTCCAGGCCCGCCCTCTCTCCGGACCCCAGCCCAGGGCCCTAAGGTCGGGGAAAAGGTTCCCCCACCTAGCAGGGGGGGTCGAGACCCCTAAACTCCCCTGCCCTCAGGGTCCGCGTCCCCGCCCTGGGCTGCTTCTTCCCCCCAGGTCCCATAGGCTCACCTGGGCCCCTCCTCTGATCCTGCCCAGGGCCTCCAATAATGCCGACCACTCGCCGGTTCGCGGGGGGAGGGGGGGCGTCTCCTCGGCGTTCCCCCTTATGGCTGGGGCCCTG